GCCACTCTCAGGGCCGTCTTTCTGAGGGAGAGGGGTCACTCCTTCCTGTACGGAGCGCAGTGCGGCACACCGCTCCCTGCACACGGAGCGGCACGAGGTCCGTGTGCTCCAAAGGCCATCATGCTTCTCCATTCCTCTCTCCCTTCTCTCTCCCTCGCTCCCGTTCTTTTCCCATGAGAGACAGAGACAGGCACCCTCAGCAGGGTCTCGTGCCACGTGTGTGCCAGTGTGACGGTGCGGCCTCCCTCCCCGTCTGAGGCGAGGGGCCCTCAGGAAACCTGCGTGTCTGGCCTCGACCAGGCTCGCCCCGGGATGGGGCCCACTGCGCAGTACCGGCGGCTCCCTCTGCCCTTGGTTCCGGTCAGCAGCTTGTCCCAGAGCACCCAGGACCTGCTGAGCCCAGTGGGCGCTGGGGGTCTGGCAGGGCTGTGTCCGAGGGTCTCTCCTCAGCGGCCACAGTGCACAGACGCTCCGGGGCGACACTGTGGTCCCAGCCACGTCTGGCAGCCCTTACCCGGCACTTGCAGTGAAGTGGACGCGGTGTAGAACACTCGTGGCAAGAAGACCTGCCGTGTTCCACGTGGGGCCTGACCACTCAGAGCCATGTCCTCTGGCTCCAGGAGCCTGCGGCTGGGGCTTCACCGTTGGAGTCACTGCCACACCCCGTCCAGCCTCCTGCCCTCTCTGCCATGCCTCGTCCTCCCCACCCTCGCTGTCGCGCCCGACCTCCCCGTCTCACTAGGCCCCACTGCGAGCCTCGCTGATAGACCGGGGAGCTGGGGTGTGAACCGGGCCATGGGCTTCTCCTTGTGAGGGGCCTAGTGGCACCCGCACTCAGTAGGGTGCTGTTTTGAGGCCTCACGCCTAGTGGCTCCTGGACGATGGAGGTTCTTCTCTCGCACTTCCTGTACGAGGGGAGCAGCCCCAGCGGGCCGAGCCCCCCTGCTCCACGCAGCCACAGCCTAGGACCCTGCCATCTCTGCAGCCACGTCTCAGCGCGTGGTCTGGGGACCCCAGCTGCTCGCTGCCTTCTCCATCTTGCAGGCCACAGAAGGGGAGAGCGCGCGCTCAGGGGCGGGATGGCAGAAACAGTGCAGCCACTCCTGCTCATGCTCCACTCGCCTGAGAGCCCAGGGTATGCGTGAGGACCCGAGGGGGCACTCGGGAGGCACGAGGGGAGACCTCAGCCTCGTCGAGGACTAGGAAATGGAGCCTGAGGCCACCAGGAGGACTTTGGTGTCTGAGCCACGGGATCTGGCCCAGGGGAGGCCCCGGGGGCTGAGTGGAGAGTGGCGCTGGGGCGCGCCCTCCGCAGAGCACTGGGAGGACAGTGTGGGGGCAGCAGGGGTGTGGGAGCTGCACGCAGCGCGCCTTCTCTGCCATCCCCCTGCAGCGGGGTCTCAGGTCTCCGTGCCGCTCGGCCGGCCGCCCGGGCTTCAGCCATCCAGGACCTTCAGGCTTGGAGCTCAGGAAGGCGGCCGGGTGACATGGCCCGGGGACGCCGCAGGAGCGTAGACATCCAGGGGTCCAGTGCTGTCTCCCTGAGGGCAGTGGGACGAGCTGGCTTGCCGTTGGGTCCGAGGTGACTTGACACTGCACGCCCAGCTGGTCATCGGTGAGTAAGCGAATGACCGTGTGGTCCCTTTTGGTTGTGCTTCGGAGGCAGACCTTTCTGCAGGACCTCCTGCCTGCCAGGGCCCTAGTGCCTCTCTGAAGACTCCCCACAACAGAAGCCATCCACGACCCATCACCACCCTCTCCCCCAGGAGCACAAAGCACCCTCCTCCCTTCCACACTCGCAAGATCGTGGGTGGCAGGTTGTCCGCGAAAGTGAGATTTTGAGTGTAGGTGGAGAAAGAGGGTCTTCGGGCCAGGTTCCCCTCCCAGCTGGTGTGTGTGTGACATTTGGCCAGACTCAGCCCCTGTGCCCGTCTCCTAATTTGCAAAAAGGCCTCAGGAGACAGCACTGGCGAGCTCATGCACGGGAGCTGTCTCAGCTGCCGAGGACCACACAGTACTGGGCTCTAGGCTTGCACGGTGCCGGCTTCAGCCCCAGTGCACCCCGCAAGGCCTCTGGGAGGCAGGCCACGTGCCCCATCTCATGTGGAGGGGTGACACAGAGAAGCAGGCGCCTGCAGTGAGGGAAGGCCGGGCTCAAGCCCAGGATGAGCGAGGTCCACCGTGGGATGCTCACCTGAGCCTGTCTGACCTCTCTAGGCCACCGTAGCTCTGCTGTGCAGGGGGGAGCCCTACCACTGAGACCCCTGTGCAAGGGGGAGTCTTACCACTGAGCCCCCCTGTGCAGAGGGGAGTCCTACCACTGAGCCCCCCTGTGCAGAGGGGAGTCCTACCACTGAGCCCCACTGTGCAGTGGGGAGCCCTACCACTGAGCCCCGCTGTGCAGGGGGGAGCCCTACCACTGAGCCCCGCTATGCAGGAGGGAGCCCTACCTCTGAGCCCCGTGTGGCGGGGGGGGCCCTACCACTGCCAGTCGCTGTGCAGGGGGGAGCCCTACCACTGAGCCCCGCTGTGCAGAGGGGAGCCCTACCACTGAGCCCCGCTGTGCAGGGGGGAGCCCTACCTCTGAGCCCCCTGTGCAGGGAGGAGCCCTACCTCTGTGGCCTCGGGCAGCCTGTGTGGACGTGAAGGTGCCAGTCGGTCACTCTGTGCACCACGTGGGACTGAGGGAGAATGCACTACTTTGACGGAGAGAAAATCCCGCCAGGGCTTGGGCAAAACAGCCCCTTGTGCTCTGAGAAGTCCGAGGGCTCTCGTCTCAGGATGTGCCTGTGGGGCGCTACCCTGCTGGGCGACCTCTGCTTCTAGAGCGCCCTGGCCTCTCCCGAAAGACTTGCTCCCGACCGGCCATGCTGTTAGGGGAGGGCAGGGGCCCACTCTGTGGCTGGATCCCACATGGTTGACTGCAGTTCTAGACCCGGACCCGGCGGCTTGAACAGATGTGGCACGTGTGAGTGTGCATGTGTCCAGATCCTGAAGAGGGCGTGGCGTGCCTGTGCCCGGACGCGCTCCTGCTCTCCTCTCTCCGGCTCTCTGCGAGCCCACGCGCCCTCTAGCAGCAAACAGAAAAGTGAGGCGGGACAGGAACAGACCTCGCCAGCCTCCTGCAGCTGGCGTGCCCCACGGTGTGGCCTCATCTGCAGACGGGGGCTGCCAGCTCTCACGCTGCTGCCACTCGAGGTTGGAAACACCAGGGAGGGACGGGGACCGCTGTTGTTGGCACCTGCTGGGGCCACATTGCTCCTGGACAGACCCTTCTGCGCGCCCCACCCGGCTCTGCCCGGCCCGGCCGTCCATCAGCTCCCCTTGCTCACGGCCTGCCCTCGGGGGCTGCACTGCTGTGGGCCGTGCCGTAGGAGCTGCCCACACCTCCTCCCCAGGCAGCTCTGGCCGAGCACCGTCTCTCCGGCTGGACTGAGAGGGCGCGGCGGCTGTCGCTCACCTCCTGCCCCGGTGTGGAACAGGCCCTCCGTCCTGGGCCTCTTGGTAGGGAACAGCAGGGGCCGCCGCTGCCGGGGGCTCGCGGGTCCTCCAGGCACTCGGGCCGCCACGTGTATCTGGCTACAGCCTGGCACGGCTGCCATCTGCGTTTCCTCACGCCTGGGCCTCTCTGCGCTCACAGGGAGCAGAAACCCAGGCAGTGCTCCGTGAAGCCCCGGCAGCAGCCCCCACATGAGGCCTGCCTCTGCAGTGAAGGCCGAGGGCACGTCTGAAGCTGGGCTGGGCTGTCCTTCACCCAGGGGACAGGGAAACATGTCACTCAGGACGTGACTGGACATGGGCGTGGCAACGAGGTGGCTACTAGGAAGGCTGGGGCGGAGGGTGAGGGCTGGGCCGGGGGGCTGGAGGGAGTGATGGCTGCCCGCCACGCAGGTGTGTGGGGAGGAGGGCGGACCAGCGGCCGGCAGGGGCGGGCATGGCTGTCCAGGCTGTCTCTGGAGGGCCTGCCCTGAGATCGCATTCCAGGCCCAGGCCTGCAGCGGTGGAGGACTGCTGTCCCGGGTCCTGGCGGGCCCCCAGCCAGTCTTTACTCAGTTCCTGCTTTGCCCCAGGCCCAGCTGGGGGTGCGGGTGGTGCCTAGGTGCTGGAGGCAGGGAGCCGTGCGGGACCGGGAGGCAGGCTCAGTGCCTGGGCCAGCCTGAGCACTCCAGCGCCTTGTGGGTCTTGGGCTAAGAGTGCTCATCCTGAAACTGGGCCCTTGAGAGCCCAGGCCCCTCGCAAGCCCTGGTCCCTGTGAAGGGCCTGCCTGTGCCTTGCCTGCCCGGAGCGGGCACAGATGGGCTCACCTGGGGGGATAGGGGGCCATGTGCTGTCCTACGGCGGGGGGGTGGAGCTTCCCAGGGGGTGGCCTGTGAGCTCACGGGCCAGCAGGCTTTGAGCTCCTCCTGGGCATCCCCGGAGCCCAGCGAGCCACACTGCTGCCCCTCGGCGTGCCCACCCAGCCTGCGCAGCAGCCTCCAGGTTCTAACGGCTTCTCTCCCCCCAGGGCCCTGGTCTTCGTGTCACATGGAGCTGGGGAGCACTGTGGCCGCTATGCCGAGCTGGCCCAGATGCTGGTGGGGTTGGACCTGCTGGTGTTCGCCCACGACCACGGTGAGTGCCCGCCGGCCACGCGTGCTGCCCTGCTCCTCGTGGGTCCCATGCCCCTCTGTTTCCATGCAGAAATGTGGGCTTGGCAACCACACACGTGCCAGGTGGTCGCGGTAAGGCTGCAGTAGGCTGGTCAGACCCAGCCGCCTGAGTCAGCGTGCCGGGCTGTTCCTAACACACCAAGCCTTGCTCAGAGCAGGCCCTGGGTGTCTCCGAGGGACTTGGCAAGGTGCAGTCCATACGGTGCATGGTAGCCCAGTGCGGCCACAAGAAGTGGGTAGTGCTGCAAGCCAGGAGACCAATGGGGTCCAGGGACCCTTGGCCATAGGGGCCCTGACACATACATGCACATGTATGCACACACACCACCCACATACATGCACACACATATCACCCACATGCATGCATGCACACACACGAAGTGTGCACACATACACACATGCATGCATACACACACCACTGGCATACATGCATGTACACAATACATGCGAAGTGTGCACATATACATGCACACCACCCACAGGCATACACATACACACATACACATGAAGCTTACACACACATGTACATGCCACCCACGTGTATATGTGCACATATATAAAGTACACATATGAAGTGTGCACACATACATGCATGCACACATATCACAATGCATACACACATGCATGTGAAGTACACACATGAAGTGTGCATGCATGCACGCACATCACAATGCATGCATGTACATGCACACATGTATGTGAAGTACACACATACATGCGTGTGCACGCACATGCATACGCACCTCACCCACATGTACACACATACACACATACATGCGAAGTGTGCACACATACATAAGCTCACGTGTGTGTGTGCATGGTACATGTGCATGCACTCACACGTGTGTGTATGCAGCAGGGTTAAGGGATGGGGAGCCCTGAGTGGATGCAGAGACGGAGTTTGGGAGGTTCGGGAGTCCGTGTGGAGAAGCTGCAGCGCTGAGCAGCTCCCAGGTCATCTCTGTGCTGAAGTGGGTGGAGGGGAGCAGGCTGTGGCTGCGGAGCAGCGGGGTCCCGTGGTCTAGACATGCCTCCCTGGCCTTCTCTGGCCGGTGCCAGGCCTCCCTACCCACACCGCCCCGCCGTGTGACAATACAAAGGTCCTTTCCACTTCAAAGGTTGTGGGTGCCCTCCAGGTCTGGCCACTTCCTACACGTATACATGGCACACATGTGTGTGCACGTGCACGTGGGATGTCACGCATGCACACACACATAGACATGCGCACACATGTCCGGGCAGTCTTTCATTTCTGGTTACGTGACGTCGGCCACCGCCATGGAGTGGCAGGGTCCTCACCTGGTGTGGGCAGCGTCTTTGTCACCTGTGTGGCAGGGCCTCCTGCTCTGCCATGTGTATGACAGGATGTGACCTTGCAAGCTCCTTACGACTTCCCAGCGCCACGCAGAGTCCCGTTGTCCTGACCCAGATCCGGAAACGTTCTTCTGTTTTATTTGACTCAAAACTACATCATGAAATGGTGCTGGGGGGAGGGCCCAGGCCCAGGCCCATGCCCGGAGGCTGGTGGGGAGGGGCGGGCGCACTCACACACAGACACCGCCAGGGGAGGCAGGCCTGCCGGCGTGTCTGCAGAGTGGGCAGATGTGCGGGCCCCTGTGGCCGGGAGTGCCAGCCCGCTCGCTGCCCTGCAGTGGTTCGGCTTTGTGGGTGGGCGGTGCCATCTGCGAGCGTGACGAAGATGGAGGACGGCCTTCCAGGCTGGCATGTGTGCAGGGCCTCGCCTGCTGCACCGTCACGGGACGTGCTGAGGTGGGAAAGGCCCTCCCCCTGCGACTGTCTGCCGCAGCTCGCTGCCTGCACCCTTGCTCAGAGCCAGCTTGAAGGAAAGAGCGTTCTCTGCAGCGAGCACTTCGGGCTCGCGGCCTCGCGCCTTCGCGCCCCCAGCCAGGTCAACGTGGCCAGACTGGCGGGTAGGGACAAGTGTCCTTTGCTTGTTTGGCCCGACTGTGGCCCTTGGAAAGCACCATTGAGAGCAGAGGGCGAAAGGCCATGGCCCGCCTCTCGAGGTTGCCAGAGAACGTGTCCTCCGAGGCGGGCTCTGACGAAGGGCACTGGAGGTGGTCGTGCCGGCTCGCCGTCCAAGCTCCTTGACTGGCTCACTGGCAGTCCCTCTGGCAAGTGACGAAAGGAGACCTTCGATCGGAAAAGTGGCCCAGTTGAAGGCGCGGGGCTCTCCTAGAGGAGGCTGGGAGGCTACGGCCCCGCGGAGCTTAGGCCAGCTGGGAGAGCGGGCACCGCGTTGGTCTTTGCTTTATCTCCTTCTGTTATTCTTTTAAAAGTGTCTTTCTTTCATGACAGTGAGATAGAGACAGAGAGACAGCAAGAGAGAAGTCCCGGGACCTCTCTTGCTGCGCCCACCCTCCCAGCAGCCCTCTCATGACCGCTGCGTGCATGCCTGGGCCTCGGAGGCCAGCCAGGGAATTGAACCCATGATCTTGCATGGAGTCCAGCATTGCTTGAGCGGCTTACTACTGCCGCATCCCAGCAAGCCGTGCTTCAGGTCCTCGCTGTGAGCGATGTTAGAATGGAGGCCCTGGATGCAAGATGGCTGGCTCTGCCCATTGGTGGCACTGGTGTCCCCAGCCGGATGGGGCAGAGTGGGCTAGACCATAGCCCTGGCGTGACTCGTAAATCCAGATAAGTGGATATGGGGAGCAGGTCGGGGCCACAGGACATGCAGTAAGGGCCGCAGAGACGGAGGCGAGACCCTGCTGATGGCAGCACCTATGCCCGCGTGCTGGGAGGGCCCCCACACAGCAGGGCCTGGGCCCCAGCTCAGCCTGACCAGAGGCTCAAGGGCCCACTCGGACCTGGTTAACCACGCCGAGCCTCAGTTTTCCTCCACCCACGGACGAGGACACGTCCTCTCCTACGAGGGCACCGAGAGGGTGCGCATACAGGGCCGCGGGTGTGGCACGTCACCCTTCAGCTGCTGTGCTGTGTACCTGGGCCAGCATGACTCCCAGGCTCTGGGCAGGCCTGGCCAGGCCCCCAGCGACCAGGGCCGGGTCCCCAGCTGATGCCTCAGGCCTGTGGAGGCTCCTGGGGAGACCCCGGAAGCACTAGACAAAGGCGCCTTACCCCGCGTGGGGCCTGGTGGTGAGGCAGAGAGGCAGCTGTGGCTGCATGGGCAGGCCTGGGTGCACACCCTGGGGCCTCCCTCACACTCCAGATGTCCACGTCCTCGGGGCCCACGGCACAGGTGCCCCCGCCCGACACCCCGGGAATGAGTAAGCTGGCGTGACGACACTGCAGAGGGGACAGCTACCCGCGTGGCCTCTAACGCCGTGGCTCCTAGGCTATGCCGGGCACCGCGGGGTGAAGGCAGAAACCGCAGCACCATAGCTGGGGCACCCTGGCGCTGCCTCAGTGCACTGGGGCCCGGCGGGTGCGGAGTTGGGCTCGATACCGTCCCTTCCGCCTTGTCCCCATGTTAAGCTTGGAGTGTGCACAGAGCGACCTCAGCTCGGCTGGTGCTGAGAGCCAGGCTCCCTGCCGT